AAAAAAAAAAAAATTAAATACATAAATAATAATAAAAGTAGTACACATTTTTGAAAAGCAGTCTGAATTTAGTTCCGCACACAATTTTAAGTTAATGATGTGATACATAGATTAAATATTACTGTGGAAATCTATTTTTATTAATGAGGATTTTGAAATAAAATATCTCTTCATACAACAAAAATAAAACAAAACAAAACATTTCAATTGGTATTCCATCAATTCTGAGGACTTTTTTTTTTTTTTTTTTTACTTTACCAAAACAATTTTTTAAAATTGTGATTTGGGTGAATATTTACAAAGCAAATTCACTTTCCATACAACAGTTCACATACACTTTGTCTCATGACATTAGCTACAATTTACCCCAATGCAACAGCTCCCCTCCCACTTCCTCCCGATAGTTACCTCTTCCCTGTGTCCATCCCTCCATGCACTCCTGCCCCCTGAGCTGTCTCCCTATACACAAACAGCCCTTCTTTCTCTCATGATTGATCTCTCCAAGGAGTGTATCTACCTCAGGTATATGTTCAACTCATATGCCTGTCCTTTGTTTGGCTGGAAGTCACAGGCATGGGTTCAATTCCAGACCTGAAGGGCAGCTGGGGGCCATAGTCTTAGGAGTTCCACCAGGCTCTATCAAACCAGCAAACATGGTCCCCCTTTTTTTATTCCAAATGATTTTCAGTTTTGTTCCACATTGTTCTCCCTCTCTATCAAGGATCTCCTCCATAGATCCCCCTGAGTGGTTGACAGTGGTAGTTGGGCACCATCTAGTTCTTCTGGTCTCATAGCCATATAGGCTGCAGATAGCATGGTGTACAGTCACTAGACTAATTATTTCCATGAATCTTTGGTTCTCTTCATTCTTCTTTGCTCTGGACGAGGAGAAACCCATCGTTACATCTAGATGGCTGCTTGCAGGCTTTTAAGATTCCAGTCACTACTTGCCAAAGTAGGAGGTAGAAGAATATAGAACCTTACTTTTCACCAGTGCTTTCTTCAGTGCAGCCTGGACTTCTGCCTTCAATACCATCAGTTCTTGGTCATATGCTGAAATGGTTGAATGCTGACTAATTGTTATTAGTAAAGTGACCCTGTGTATTCCTTCCATTTTCTCTTACTTGTTGCTTAATATTATTTAATATATTAATGCTTACTGTGTTATTTAATGTTTTGCCCATAGAATCCTTCAATATGCAACTCGAGGCCTGAATTTTTTCTTCACTTCTTTCAGTTTGAGGAATGTTAAGTATATTCTTCCTTTTGGCTTTCTAACTCCAAGTCTTTGCACGTTTCATTGTAATACTTTACTTTGTCTTCTTGAGCTGCCCTTGAAAACCTTGTGTTCAGCTCTCTTACTTCATCATTTCTACCAATTGTTTTAGCTACTTTCTGTTCAAGAGCAAGTTTCAGAGTCTCTCCTGACTTCCATTTTGGTCTTATCTTCCTTTCCTGTCTTTTTAATGACCTTTTGCTTTCTTCATGTATGATGTCCTTGATGTCATTATACAACTTATCTGATCTTGTCATTAGTGTTCAATGTATCAAATCTCTTCCTAAGATGGTGTCTAAATTCAGATGGGTACTCTAGGTCATACTTTGGCTCTTGTGGATTTGCTTTTATTTTCTGAAGCTTCAACCTGAACTAGCATATCAGTAATTGATGGTCTGTTCTGCAGTCACCCCCTGGCCTTGTTCTGACCAATTATATTGAGCTTCTCCATTATCTCTTTCCACAGATGTAGTCAATTTGATTCCTGTGTATTCCATTTGTTAAGGTGCAGGTGTATAATCACAGTTCATATTGTTGAAAAAAAGTATTTCCAATGAATAGGTCATTGGTCTTCCAAAACTCTATCATGCGGTCTCTGGTGTCATCTCTATTACCCAGGCCATATTTTCCAATTACCGATCCTTCTTTGTTTCCAACTTTTGTATTACAATCACCAGTAATTATCAATGCAACTCAACTGCATGTTTGGTCAATTTCAGACCATAGAAGTTGGTAAAAATCATCAATTTCTTCATCTGTGGCATTAATGGTTGGTGCACAAATTTGAGTAACAATCATATTAACTTGTCTTCCTTGTAGACGTACAGATATTGTACTATCATTGACAATGTTGTACATCAGAAAAGATGTTGAAATGTTCTTTTTGGTGATGATTGTGATACCATTCCTCTTCAATTTATCATTCCTGGCGTAGACCATACGATTTTCTGATTCAAAATGGCCAATACCAGTCCATTTCAGGTCACTGATATTGATCTTCAAGTATTTCATTTCATTTTTGACAACTTCTAATTTTCCTAGATTCATACATTCCATGTTCTGATTATTAGCAGATATTTGCAGCCATTCTGAGTAGTGTTTTGGGTAGTGCCACACCAGCAAATGAAAGTCCCAAATGTTTTACTCCATCCATGTCATTAAGGTTGACTCTACTTTGAGAAGGCAGCTATCCTCATCTAGGACCTCAACTGCTCTTCTTCTTCCATCTTCAATTTATTTCTGTATGAAACCATTCTGCATTCTTCTGTGGGAAGAAGCCATTACACCCAAACTAGTCATGTATACCCAGGATCCTAGCACACTTCCCTTTTGGTTAGCTATTGTATGTCTGGGTATGTTCCATTTTTTGTCTACAAAAACATTCATTCTCACCAGTGCTTCTCCTGTGCTTGAGGACTGACCCCAGCCTTACTTGGGAAAGCTGCAGCCATTGTTTGCAGTCCCTTTGGCCTAAGTACAAAAGTAGTTGGTAGAGCCATTGTGAAGGGGCAATTTCCTCAAATCAGTGGTAAAGGGATTTCCCTCAGGACCTCTTTAGCTTTTCATTCTTCAATGCAAGTCCCCTCTGTATCTGTTGTGATAATAATAGCATATATTGATTCTTTACTGCATGCCAGGTAATAATACCTAAATGGTTTATATCAGTGGCTCTCAACTGAGAGCCATTTTGCTCCCTAGGAGACACTTGGCAAAGTCTGTAAACACTTCTGGTTGTCACAACTAGGGAAGAGGGTGTTACTGGCATCTAACTGGTAAAGGCCAGGGATGTTGCTAAACATCCTACGATGCACAGGGCAGCTCCCTACAACAAAGAATTATCTGGCCTCAAACGTTAATAGGATCAGGGTTGAGGGACCCTGGTTAATACATTTGTGTTAAATTATCCTTATAAAATCCAATGGGATAGGCAATTATTATCTCAATAAGGCACTGAGAGGTTATGTAACTTGCCTGAGGTCACATGGCCAGTAGACAGCAGAGCCAGGATTCAGACCCAGGCAGCCTGACACTGGCCTGCACTACTGGTGTATCTGCTATGCTGCATCTTAGCTGTGTTGGGTCTGTGAGTTATTTGAGAAGGGGAACTGGGCCTCATTCATCTTTATTTGTAGGACTTACCACTATGTCTAACACACAAAAGGAGCTCATAAATGCTTAAACAGCAACCAGCTAGCTGTACAGTAAAATTAACGGTGACAGACATTTTATCGCACAAGTCATTTTAGATACGGCCAGGACTCCTTACCTGAATTGCTGTATACCCACTTCTCATTACTGGTCAACGCCACAAACTTAGTGTTGGAAGGCAGACACAGGAAGTAATCGTTATCATCCACTATGGTGCCATCCTCTGCAAGGACCAGAGTGATTGGTGCCAAGGACTTATCAATGGCTAGAATGTCAAAAGCTGAGAGAGATAAAATATCGGGCAATTAAAAAATTCTGCAACTGAAAAACTCAAGATCCAAGGACAAAATTCTTATCCATAAGGAAAGTATAACTACAAGTACTGGCAACAACCGCAACTACTGCCTGGAACTGTTCTAAGTGTTTCTCATATACAATATTTAATCCTCATAGCAATTCTATACAGTACGTCCTATTATTATTCCAATTTTACTAAAGAAAAAACCAAGGTTGAGAAAGGTTGAGTAACTTGCCCACACTGGGAAGTGGCAGCGCTGGGATCTAAATCCAGTCTTGCTCCTGTTATACACCACACACAGGAGGCACTCACATCTTTCAGTGAATGGTAAACTACACCAAAGTCTGGTTTGATTCCTTGTGAATAAGTAGTCTTTCTTTCATTTATTCAGTGGCTATCTTAAATTCTCTTTGTCAAATGTCAAAAAATAAAAAAGAGAGACATGCGTTTTATTCTTTGTAATATCTTTCTTTGCAGCTTTTCTAGCCTATGGGAAAGCATAGGAGATACAGAAGTTTGTATCAGTGGCTTTTCATCTTTATTATCATTTACTGCACAGGGGCCTTCTCCAGGGCAGCTCTGCACCATCCCATTGAATGATGGCAATGATGCTGAAAGAAGAAATAGCAAAGAGACTGTAACTACCTTTAGGCAAAGTTGTTTCCTACCCAAATAGAGCACAGGCCTTGCATAGGTTGAGCTCCACAGAACATAAGTGTTTGCATATGCCTCTGTACCAGTGCACTTTTCAGTGACAAAATAATTTAAGTAACCTAATGCCAGAAAATAAATAAATACTTATACAGCACAAGCCATTGTCATCAGAGCTCATGCAGTGCTTTGGCAGCTCCCAGTCTTTGAAAGACATCTATACAATAATCACTTGGAGCTTAAGTGACTCTGGAGGAAGCACTACTGACACACTGTGACTACATGCCTGGGACTAGCTCACTCGTTTCACCAAAACCAAAACCAAACCAAATCACTGCTGTTGAGTCAAATCCTACTCATAGTATGACCCCTCCTTGGGTTTCCCAGGCGGTATCTCTATGGAAGTAGATTGCCCAGTCTTCCTTCCAAGGAGTGGTTGGTGGATTTGAACCCCCATTCTTCTGGTTAGCAGTCAAATGCCTTAGGTAGCCACCAGAGAGCCTTCCTTTAACCATTTGTGGCTAATAACATTTGGAAGTCATCTAAATATGTCATCTCAACATATTAGCTCTTGTTAAGAGTCCTAACAATCCGGGAAGCAGTACTGGAACTATTAGACCCACTTTTCCAACGAGAAAACTTAACAGTTGAGAGAGACGCTAGTGCAAAGCCAAGCAGCTAGTAACATGAGGCTAGGGCTCGCAACTTCTGTCATTTCAGTCACCCACAACACTAAACACCGTTGGTTTGTCTATAGCCACTCCTCGGAAGGAAGGTTGGGCAATCCTACTTCCGTAGTGATACTGCCTCGGAAACCCAAGGAGGGGTCGCTATGAGTCGGGGCCGACTCGACGGCACATAACAACAACAACAACATAGGACAGTCAGAAGCCGCTCCCTTTTTCTGGTATATGTACCTGTCGGAGCAGAAGGTGGAAACCTCTTCCCAGTGGCTCAGCTAGAGGCCCTCCAAAACAGGAATACACTGAGCTGGATTTGGCCTGAAATCAGCATGATTTTTAACAAAGACATCTAAGCAGAATCTCTCTTACTTTGCATATTTCTTCCCGTCTACTTTTTCACACTCAAGAGTCACACAAGGGACAAAGTTTCGGCGCCTCTAAACGACTAAGAAACGCTTCGAAACCTATAAAGCGCTAAACCCAAGTGAGTCATTCCGGTGCCGCTTCCGAAGGCTCCACCCGCTCTCCAAGTCTTCCCAAGTAGACTCTCGGATCTCCGACCTGGCCCCCCGCGCGTCTTCCTTTCCAGCCCTGACCCTCCCCAGTCCCCTGACCCAGTTCAGTACCGACCCTTGCTTCTCAGCTCCTCGAGGCAGGAGGCCGCTACACCATGCTGTTCGCGGCTGTGGTTGCGGCGCAGCAGACATGGCTTTAGCGTCCGGATCTCACCGACTTCAGGAGCCCAGGCGCCCTCGCTTACCTCCATCTTCTACAAGGTGTGACCTGAAACACTACGGTTAGTCCCAGCAGCTCAGGGCAGTAGTTCCCCGCCCCGGTAGCATGCCGGGAGATGTAGTTCCCTTCACGCAAATCAAGGATGGTATCAAGGCACGCCGGGAGATGTAGTTCTAGCAGCCTCTAATCACGTGAGTCCCCAGGGTATTGGGGGGTGGGGGTGGGGTAGTTTTCTCTGTCCAAAAAATGTTAAGTCGCGCGATTAAGCCCAATGGGAATTTAGGAACTGCAATTGCATGTTCACAAATGAAGCCAATGGGGATTTATTTTACCTTGTGAAGTACACAAATGTGCATTCAGTTGGACTTTTAGAGAGCACTGGTGGCGTAGTGCCTAAGGCATTTGACTGCTGACGAGAAGGCTGGTGGTTCAAACCCACCAGCCACACCGGGTAAGGAAGACTGGGCAATCTACTTCCCTAAAGATTTGCCGCCTGGAAAACCCAAAGGGGGTCGGTATGAGTCGGAATGGACTCTATGGCAGTGAGGTTTTTTTTTTTTTTTTTTCTTATTTGCAAATATGTTGTTGTTGTCAGGTCCCATGGAGCTGTGTCGCACTCAAAGCGACTTTATGTACAACAGTGCCCTGTCCTGCACTTATCCTCACAATCATTGCTGTTGGAGCCCATCCTTGCAGCCATAGTGTCAAGGATCTTCCCCCTTTTCCGCTGACCCTCTCTACTTTAGGAAACAGGATGTTCTTCTCCAGGGACTGGTCCCTCCTGATAACATGGCCAAAGAATGAGAGAAGTCTCGCCTTCCTGGCTTCTAAGGACCATTCCAGCTGTCTTTCTTCCAAGAGAGATGTATAATATTAATACATAAATAAGACAGTTGGTGAACGCACTGTGTTAATTTTCCTTCCCAGTCAGAAAAGATCTGTAAGAAGTTCCAAACTTCAGGCAGCTTTGAAGGACCAAAACCCAAACCCCTTGCCCTGGTGGACTCAATTCCAACTCGTAGTAACCCCAAGGGACAGAACGGAACGGTTTTCAATGCTATGAATCTTTATGGAAGCATACTGCCACATCTTTCACCCACAATTTGAAGGAAATCAGTTTTAAAAATTGTTGAGTGCCATTTTCAGTGTTGCTTCATGAAACATGCAGCAAAGTAACATAAGATGCTGCACATTCTCACCCATTTGATTCTGGTTTAGTTGTGCAAATTGGATTTGGGCCCTCAGAATAAGATGCTTGGATAAAAAGATTAAACATTAAGGCTCAAAGAAATCGGAGACCGGAGGGCAAATGAGAACCACTGCATGTCTGAGATTTTCCAGATGCTGCTTGGTAATGTATTCATCCTTGGTAGAATACTGAAACTTTCTGAAAGGTCTGGTTTATTTTCTCCCCTTGAGTAACTAACATTTATGATTCAAATAATGTAAAAAATAAAAAGCTTAAAAAGGAGGAGGCATTTTATGTAAACAACATGAGTCAGTTCCTTTCATATTTTGTTTATAAAAACCTGGGTGAAGAAATAGATATCTCATAAGAAAAGGGTAAAACCAGAAATCAAACTCACTGCTGTCAAGTCAGATCTGGCTCATAGCAACCCCTCCTTGGGTTTCCAAAGCTGTATTATTAGGGAAGTAGATTGCCCCATCTTCCTTCTGAGGAGTGGTTGGTGGGTTTGAACCGCCAGCCTTCTGGTTTGTAGTCAAATGCCTTAGGCACTATGCTACCAGAACTCCCAAGAAAAGGGTAGGCATTTAAAATAATGTTTTGTAGGAGGATTGTCAACTGAGGCAAGGCTTATGCTGTTGTCAGTTGCTATTGATTCTGCATCTACTCATAGTGACCTTATGTACAGTAAAACAAAACATCACCCAGTCCTGCGTTCTCTCCATGATCGTTGGTATATTTAAGTTCATGGTCTCAGCCACTGTGTCCATTGTCTCACCGAGGGCCTCCCTCACCTTCACCAACTCCCCTCTTTGTTGACCATAGTGCCCTTTACTAGTGACTGGTCCCTCCTGATGACACGTCCAAAGATGAAATCTCACCACCGTTGCTTCTAGGGAGCATCCTGGTTTATTCTTCTAATACTCATCTGTCTGTTCTTTTGGCAGTCTACCAGGTAGTCAATATTCTTCACCAACACCACAGTTAGAATGCATCAATTCTTCTGTTTTTTCCTTTTACATTGTCCGGCTTTCACATACATATGAGGCAAGTGAAAAGACCACGGCTTGGGTCAGGTACACCTTAGCCATCAAAGTGACATCTTTGGTTTTTAAAACTTTAAAAAGACTTTTTTTTTTCAAATTTAATTTAATTTTTAAAATTGTTGCAGTGTTCCCTCCTTTCCTTTCCCACTTCTGGTAACCAACAAAGAAAGTTTCCCTTCATCAATAAACCTTCCCTTGACTTTTTACAATAACAAACTAAGACAACATTTGTCCTTCTGTGATTGACTTATTTCACGCAGCACGATGTCCTCCAAGGTCATCCACGTTATGCGGTGCTTTGCAGAGTCTACATTATTCTTTAGTGTTGCTTAGTGTTGCATAGTATTCCATACTATGTACTATAGTTTGGTTATTCATTCTTCTGTTGATGGGCACCTAGAATTTTTTCTGTCCTTTTGCTATTGTGAATAGTGCTAAGATGAACATGGGTGTGCATATATCTGTTCTTGTCCTCGCTCTCACTTTTTTAGGATATATACCTGGTAATGGGATGGCTGGATCAAATGGTATTTCTAATTCCAACTTTTGAAGGAATCGCCATACTGCTTTCCATAGTGGTTGTATAATTTTACACTTCCACCAGCCGTGTATGAGGGTCCCAATCTCTCCACATCCTCACCAGCATTTGTTATGTCCTGTCTTGTTGAACTTTGCTATTAGTGCTGGAGTGAGATGGTATCTCATTGTTGTTTTGATTTTCATCTCTCTAATGGCTAATGATCATGAGCATATCTTCATATGTTTGTTGGCTGCCTGAATATCCTCTTTGGTGAAGTGTCTATTCATGTCTTCTGCCAATTTTTGAATTGGATTTTGAATTGTCTTTTTGTTGTCGAGGTGTTGGAGTTTTCTATAAATTTTAGAGATAAGTCCCTCGTCAGATATGTCATTTTTTCCCAAGCTGTAGGTTTTCTATTGGATAAGTGTTTTATCTATCTATCTATCTATCTATACACACACACACACACATATATCATCTAGTTCTTCTGGTCTCATAGTTGTATAGGCTGAGGAGTGCATGATGTACCAGTCACTTTACTAATTGTTTCCATTAATCTTTGGTTTTCTTCATTCTTCTTTGCTCTGGACAAGGAGAAATCCATCATTGCATCTATATGGCCACTTGCAAGTTTTTAAAGTCCCAGTCGCTACTCGCCAAAGTAGGATGTGGAACAATGTTTTGTGTAGTATGTTATGCCAATTGAGCTTGATGTCTCCTGCATCCACAGTCCTGAGCCCACAGGTATAATTACTCGCTCCCTCTGCGTAGCTGGTTGTGGCCAAGAAGTGAAGACAACCTTGCCCCTTGTCAGCTCTATTGTATACCCGGGAATTCTTACCAAATATACAAATACGCCCATAGAAAGATTGTCTGCCAACCCTATACATGGTCTTGGGCACACACTCCTCTGCATGGACATACCTAATAGTTCAGCCTGTCCACCCACCTATCCACCCATATATCCAGGTTTGCCTTCATGGACAACTCAGTAATGTATTTATCTCCCATGTACCTTTCTATGTCCTCCTTTTCTTCAATGCCACTGTGTTGATCATTCACAT